AAGGGCTCTTCAATGAAAAGGACATTTGTAAAACACAGATTTAAAGCTAAAGAAGTTATTTTTTGCTGTTTTGTTTCCTATTGTCTTGGAGTCTTTAATATGCTACTGAGTCTCTCGGTGGGTGGCATAGATAGCCTAGTAGTGGAAACCATGGAAACCTCAAGAATTTCTATTTGGCAGAATGTCTCAAGTCATAATACCGCTCGAGAAATAACCTTTCCAGATAACAATTGTCATTAATGAGCATGAGGAACCAGATGTTTTAAGTAACTTGACTTTTATTTTCAAAGGTTGGATTTGATGCCATGAGAGTGTATAACAAGAGGCTGAAAGCACTGAGGAAAATACAGAAACTCATCAAAAAAGGGCAATTAAGAGCAACTAAGGTGAGACAACATCGTTCTTTCCCCCTCTTAAATTCTTATATTTCTCAGTGAAAATGAAAGCAACTAGATTGTCTAAAGTTAAATCTACCCCCTTTGGTACCCAGATGTGTACATACATATGTCAGACAACAGCTGAGTTGTTCTTGTAGGCAAGAGGGCATGGGAGGAAATAAAATTAAATAAGCAAGAAAAAACATAGGGTATGACCTCTTTTTCCATTGTAAAATCAAACCTTATTTTTACTGGGAGGAACAAAATAATTCCATTCAATGCCATAAAGTTATAATAGAAGGCAATACGCTCATTAACTTTTAGATCTCTTCCTTTCAATTGTCCTGCCAGTGTACTCCTGGCCACTTCCACAGTCTTCCAGAATCAAGTTTCTGGGCTCTTCTGCTTTTCCACTTTTCTTCCTAGAGAACATCAACATTGAGACTGAGGTGAACCTCATTTCTTAAGAGTTCATTCCCTCCAGGTTTTGCTTACCAAGGAACACTGTGTAGGATTTTTAATTAATTTGGAATAATTGGTTGAAAAATATCCCAAATCGTTGGCAATGAAGTTGTATTTTCTTTGTTTAGAATGGCATTATAACTGGTGCTGGTTCATCAAATAATGCTTTTGAGCCCGATGAAGATATTGAAGACCCAGAAGAACTTGATATCCCAACCAAGGAAATAGAGATTCAAGTGGATTGGAACTCTGAGATTCCAGTGAAAGTGAATGTTCCCAAAGTGCCAATCCACAGCCTCGTGCTGGATTGTGGAGCTGTATCTTTCTTGGATGTTGTTGGAGTGAGGTCATTGCGAGTGGTAAGGCGAAGTGTTTTGAATTATAGATTAGGAGCTTTGGCAGAAGTAAAACCATATGGGTTGCCCATTCTTACAAAAGGACGATTGATTGTATAGGCTCTGTACTTTTTCTAGAGGAATGCCATTGTAATAATGTAATATTTTAAAGCACAGGCTATGGGGCCAGACTACCTGGGGTTGAATCCTGGCTCTACCACTGGCTGCAGTGGGACTAGAGGCAAGTTGCTTAATCTGTCTGTATCTCAGTTATGAGGATAATGACAGCGCCCATTACACATGGCTTTTATGAAAATTAAATAAGCATATATATATGGTTATTTATGGTTTAGAACAGTATCTGGCATATAGCCACCCCTCAGCAAATATTAACATTTATTGTGGTTTCTGAGAATAAATAGGAAAAGGGATATGAAAAGAAGGAAGTTCAATGTTAAGTATTATGTTTTTATTTGTTATGTGAACAGCAGTAGAATGGGGAATGCGGGGTACATGGTAGGACTGGTGAAGCGAGGCATTATTAAAAGGTTAGAGCAGGAAGCAGGTCAGGCATCTAGGAAGTCAAAGGGCTGAGGAACATGTAGGACAGGAACATTCATGATATCAGACACCACTTATGCAAGGTCGAGTTCATTCTTTCAACAAAGAGATGTGAAGTGCCTAATATGTGCCAAGCACTCAGCCAGGCACGAGAGACAAATGAAGAAGTAGTCACAGTCCCTATCCTCACAGGACTAAGCAGTTTAGACGGGAAGGCAAACAATAAGTAACCTTTTAAATAACAACTGTACTAAGTGTTCCGAGGCAGACAAACTGCGGTCTCAACTTGCCCAGGAGTGTCAAGTTGAAGGAAAGTTTCAGGTAGGTATCCGACAAGTCAGGCAGAAAAGTAAGCAGGTTAAAGACACCAATAATCAGATGTAATAATATGAAACTGACCTTCAACTGAGGTTTATCTTTGCTGGGGCTTCTTGGCTACTTCTGCAAGGCCAGGAAATTATTCAAGGGTTGCAGGTACTAGGCAGGAAGGTAGAAAACTGATTGTACTTGACAAAAAAAAAAAAAAAGTGAGAAAATGCTGACAGCTTCTCTTCCAGTTCTCTTAGCAGACCTGATCATGAGCTCATTTGAGAGCTTACTCTTGTTCTTCATTGTGCATTTTACTCTAGGCACTGGCTCAAGTGCATTGTAGAAATTGTGTTGGCCAAAGGGTTTAAGGAATTACTTTGGGGAAGAGTCTTTATTTAATGCCAGAATATTTTACACACCTAACAAATAATTGCTTTCAAATGCTATAAAGACAATTGTGAAAAATCCAAACTGTATCCTTGCATAGAGGTCTTGTTCTTCTCCCCAGAAATTTCATGTTCTATTTTACTATTGCCCATAGGTCTTGCATCTTAATTTTTTAAATGAAGTTTTGCATTTTGAGATCATTGCAGATTCCCATAAAGTTGTAAGAAATTATACAGAGAGATCCTTTGTACCCCTTACCCAGTTTCTCCCAGTGCTAACATCTTGCAAAACTATTGTCTAAAATCACAGTCAAGATACTAAGACTAACACTGTCAAAATACAGAGCCCTTGGTTTTTAGGTCAGGTTTTACATTCAGACTCTGGTGGCCGCATTTCTACCCCCATATATCTTCCACTCAGGGATATAAACTCATGCTCATGTCTCCCACCTGCAGGGGCTGAATTAGGAAGCTCCTGAACTCCCTTCTTTTCTTCCTTCCACAAATATTTATTCAGCACATCCGCTGTTGAGTGCTGTGCCGTTGAGCACTGGATGTGGCTACCTCTTGAGACAGGTCTTGTCATCCCTAATCATATCATCACTGTAGCTTGAAAACCTCTGTGGTTTCCCAATAATGAGCTTTCCTCAAAGTCTTGTTTAACCATGAAAGTATTGAAGTTTCTCCTAAGCAAGTGATTGAGTGCTTCTGAATTACGGGCAGGTAAAGTTACTCACATTCTCCTTTTTAAATTTTTAGGTTGTCAAGGAATTCCAAAGAATTGATGTAAATGTGTACTTTGCATCGCTTCAAGGTAAATGCATATACAGTACATATCTATCTATAAGACGTTCTCCTATCTTGGAATGTGGCTACAGCATGACCAAAGGCCTTAAAAAATGATTTTTTATTGTGATAAAAAATGTATAACAACATTTGCTATTTTAGTCACATTCAAGTGGCTTTTAATTCAGTGACATTAAATACATTTACAATGTTGTGCAACCATCGCAACTATTCCCAAAACTTCTCATCACCATGAACCGAAACTCTACCCATTAAGCGCTCACACTGAGGGCCTTTTTCAACCGAGGGAGATATTACTTCCAATTTGTGCCTTAAAGCTGTAATGCAAGGAGACCGATGTCCTCACAGCAGTGCCAGATCACCATGGAAACTTTGTCCTAGGAAGAGCAGAGCTGGAGATGACTTAGGTCCCTTAAAACTAGAGGACCCTCCAGGGTATGAGTCTGTCTGTGAATGTAAGAGAGTATGTGTGTAGGAAGATACTGATGCTTAGGCTGAGTTCTCTAGAAACAGAGACGGAGGTAAGGATTCTTGCACAGGTGATTTACTGAGATAGTACACCCTGGAAAAATTCATGAAGGAATGAGAGGAGCGGGGTAAGGCAGGAGAAGAAGCTGGACAAAGATATGGTTGCAAAAGTCTACCTTACATGGAAGGACCTGGAGAGTATTATGCTTCATGAAATAAGCCAGTCAAAAAAAGACAAGTGTCACATGATCTTGCTCAAATGTGTAATCTAATGAACAAAATAAACTGGTGAACAAATAGATCCAGAGACGTAGAAGCATAGATTAGACTGCAGAATCTCAGAGGGAAGGTGGGGGAGGGTGGCTGGGTGGGAAGAGCTCAACCAAAGAACTTATAACCCGTGGACACAGGCAATAGGGTGGTGAAGGCCTAGGGCAGGGTTGGAGCGAGGGGGGTGGGCTATAAGGGGCTATTGGGGGGAGGGGGGAAGGGGCACATATGTAATACTTTCAACAATAAAGATTTAAAGAAATTTTTTTAAGTCTTCCTTAGCTTAATTTCACAAGGAGCACACAGCAGGAAAAGCACCCAAGGACTATTCTTCCTCAAGGCCAGGGAGCTGGCCTATTAACCCCCACCCCCGTGTCAGTCTGTTAGTGGCTGCAGGCCATGCAAGGATGGAGGTGTAACCTCCCAGGCCTTTGCAGTTGAGAGGGTTCCCATTGGCCCAGGAAAGGTCTCCAGAGAAGGCCACAGCTATGAACCATTAGCAGCCAGACTCACAGCAGCTGGAGGATGGGGACACTGGCAAAGGGGACCTGGTCAGGAACCAAGGCCATCTACTACCTACAACCACTGTGGTACAGCCATGCCATGTGCTACTGGAAAAGAAACTTGGTGTAGAGGAGGGTCGGATTTTGGAACTGAGAAGAAAGAATTAAGGAGGAGCTGCCAAAACTTAGTGTTGGTTGATGTTATAAAATATCTTTTCCTAGAGATTAACTAAACATTCTTTCTTTCTTTTGAAGATCACGTAATAGAAAAGCTGGAGAAATGTGGTTTCTTTAATGATAACAGAAAGGATATATTCTTTTTGACTGTCCACGACGCTGTCCTCCACGTACAGAACCGGGTTAAATCTCAAGAAATTCAAGATTCCATTTTAGAAACGGTAAACATGTCACCTTTTGACATATGTATCTTTCCTGAGCTATCATGATTTCTATAAATGGCAAAAATTCCACAAATTTAGCTTTGAGTCTCAGTCTAGTGTAGGATGTTAAGCCATCTGGTAAACTTCTCAGAGCCTCAATTTTCTCACCAGTAAAATGGGAGTAAAAACATTTACTTTGCCGGGCAGATATGAAGACTGAATATGATAGTTTATAGGAAAGTACCTGGGAGCGCCTCATACATATTAGTTCTATAATGTGCAGGTTTACTAATGAAGGTAGACTTTAGCTGGAGTGCCTTTTTAGAATACAGGCACTGAATCTCGGAGCTTCTGGAACTTGTATATACAAATGCAGTTTAAATTCTCAGCACTCTAGACACTCTTGATGATGTGCTCGCTTCGGCAGCACATATACTAGAAACTCTTGATGATAAATGTCTTTAAATAGGATCCATTAGGTCATAAGTGATCTTTGAAAATGAAAAAAATTAAAAGCCATGAATTAGCCCCATGAAATAGAATAAACCCCCATTTCCTGGGGACTCCTTATTTTGTCGGCCTTTTATCCAATACCTGGTGGGCATTCTGGTACAAGAACCTCTTCTCTCACAGACGAATTTGGGAAATGAAAACAATATCTATAAAAATAACAATCATAATTATTCCAGTGATAGTCTACTGTATTTTAAATTGCTTCTCCCCTCCCCCCTAAAATTAGGGTAGATTCTTATTGTAAACTCGAAGTTAATGTCTGAAGTAAAAAAACTAATTTAGAAAATAATAGCATATTATTCTTTTAAGATATAGTTAGTAGAGAGATTGCTCTGCTTAACGCTGCTGGAGAAAGTACTAGTCCTAAATACCAAGATCTGGACATTGAATACAAAAAAGTAAAACAAGTAGCAAAACCACAAATCTAAAAAAAAATAAATAAATAAGCTACATGCAAAATGCTTGTCTTTGAAAACTCATAAGCCTTTTTCTATCTAACTTAGAATTTTCTAACCCATGGGTAAAAACAACAAAGCAGGATCATGTAAAGTATCTAAAAAAGGTCCCTCATTAAAAGTAAAATAGAATCGCCCTGGCCAGGTGGCTCAGTTTGTTGGAGCGTTGCCCTGTACACCAAAAGGCTGCGGTTTGATCCTGGGTTGGGACTGTACCGGAGGCAACTGATTAATGTTTCTCTCTCTCTCTCTCTCTCTCTCTCTCTCATCAATAAAAGCATATCCTTGGGTGAGGATTAATTTTTAAAATTTCAAGTTCTTTCTCAACATGAAAAGTTATTTTGTTGTTTGTTCTTACCCAAGATCTCAGATCCCACAAAGGCCACAAAAGCCACTAACCAACAGTGCCCCACCAGTGTTAGACTCAAGATTGCTTGTAATCAGGGAGGCATTGTGAGTGGCTGGGATGGATTTTTTGACCCTGAACAAATGTCAGGGTTATAATTGGGTGCTTATGTACTTACTGGCTCACTGGATGATGGGCTGAGCACTAGTGATAGCTTCTCAGGTCAGGAACTTACACTTCTGTGTCCCCTCAGTATCTAGCACAAATGATAAACCTGCCTGTGGCACTTTCCTTTTCTTCAGGAGGAGTAATTTGTATTTCAGGCATATTGTGGATGCAGTGACATGACCCTCTCCCTATCCCTTCATAGGACAAACACAAGGACTATCCAAAGAGAGTCCCAACTTGTAGTTACACCTATCCATTATGTCCGGCCATCTGCACAGGGACTGAAGTCTCTGATTCATTTCCACACTAGCAAAGAGATTGGATTATTGATTTGTGAGTGAAGAGTAGCCAAAAGTGAAATGTCACTCTTATCTTGATAAACATCTGGAATTGCTTTGGGAATATCCTTTATGCACAAGACAAAGTCCAAACTGTTATTGGTTTCCTCTGTTATCGATTACTGCTAAGATGCAGAACTTTCCTGAACAACCAACTTCATCCATACACATTGGCTTCCATCTCTAATGAAATTAATACCCATCCAATTTAACCTGGGACTGTTTATTGTCGTCAGTCACGAGCCCATTCAGTATGTGCTCAATGCTGTACTAAGTGCTCTTAGTTTAGCCCTTGAGATAAAGACACGATTGACTGCTGGATCATTCAGGCAGGCATGGCGACTCCTAAGAGGCATGCACTTCAGAGGCTGGGAAGAGAGTGGAAACAGAGGCTAACCATGGAGAACTATGCCAGTTCACACTTGAACGTGAAAACATGGTACAGGGAAAATTAGAAGAGAGAAATACAAAAGGGCAAGAGAGCGGAAAAAGATTTTGAAGTGTGTAGATTATTATCAATGAGAAGCACCGGCAGCACTTCAGGTCATTTTCAGTGGAGTATGGGGGGGCGGGGGGGGTGATGCTATTATTTTTCTCATAAATATTTTCTGTTCTCTTTGTCAAGATCTCTCTCATCCAGGACCATAAAGATCCTCTTGAATTAATGGAAGCAGAGCTGATTGAAGAAGAACTTAATGTTGAGGATGAGGTATGAGCATGATTTCCTTTCAAAGAAAATAATTTGGATGAAATCTTGAATAGAGTAATACATATAGTGACTATGTCTGATACAAACTAGAGAAATCATTTTTTAAATCAAGACCCAACGGCGGAGGGAAAAGACCCAAAGGATGGCTTATGAGAAAGGGGAAAATGGAAAACAAGAATTTTCCCTTGAAGACATTAAGAACTTGGGGACCTTCTGCCCCCAGACATATAGGATCTGCAACTGGAAGCTGCCGACACACTGGTCCTGATTTAGGCCTAAGCCTCCGAATACTTTTTCTTCCAGAGATTTCAGGAGTAGAGAAAAGGTGATTAGAGTGCATTTCTAACCCAGGAGTTTCATGAGCTTCAGAGATAGTATGTGAGGAACAGGAACCTCATGATAATGACTAAGAAAAGACTGAGTCTGTGTATTTCTGATGCCCTTGGGAACATCAGTCAATCCCTAGGAAATCTGACTGCAACTTGTTATCTGAGTGAACATTGTGGCTCCACCACTGGGCCTAACAAAAGATCAGAGAAATTGAAAGTTGAAACATGTCTTAGAAATCAAGTAGTGCTCACACAGAAATCCCTCTACACCACGCCTAAGAATGTTCTCTCAGCTTTTGTGTGAACGTTTCCAGACATCGGAAACTAGTAGCTTTTGAAAAAATATATATTTTTATTGATTTCAGAGAGGAAGGGAGATAGAAACATCAGTGATGAGAGAGAATCATTATTCGGCTGCCTCCTGCACGACCCACACTGGGGATTGATTGGGTCCGCAACACAGGCATGTGCCCTGACCAGGAATTGAACCATGACCGCCTGGTTCACAGGTCAAAGCTCAACACTGACTGGGGAGCAACTAATAGTTTTCCAGGGAATTTGTTACATGATTGGAAATCTCCAAGGGTTCGTTGTGCTTACAAAACTAAATTTGGCCTTTCTCTAATAACGAGTGGCTGAGATCTGCCTTTTCTAGCGATACAAACCCTCCCACGAACAGCCCTTAAATATTTGAGAGTATCTTTGAGGTCTCCACCCGACTCTGCTCCAGGTGGGACTCCTCCAGTTCCCTTTACCATTCCTGATAGACACACAATTTGGCATGGCTTCTCTGGCAAAGAAGGGGACACAACACCGTAGATAGGGTTAGGCCAGCATGGAGGTTATGCAAGCATGACTTACCTTGGTCTCCTCAAGATGTTTCTATGACTATGACTTAAAAAATGTGTTTATTTTCATAAGAGCTACATCAAAATCTTTGCTTTTGTTGAGCAGGGCTCAACTAAAGACTTGGGCATTTTCACATAAATGGTCATCCAGCTGGGTTCCCCATTTATATTTATGTAATTGGTTCTTGACCCCCCTGGTGCAGGACTACACATTTCTGATAGATTATATCTTGTCTGTTCCGTTTAAGAACATCCTTTGGAATGCTGAATCTATAAGCTGAATCTATCATCCAGCATATTAATTACGCACCCCCACTGGTGTCATATGCAAATCTGATAAGCATGCCTTCTCTGCCAGGTCCTGATAAAAATGTTGAGAAGCATAATATTCAAACCCCTATGGTAAAATCAGGCAGTGAGGGTGACAGGCTGAGAAGACTTTTGTGGGGGAAATACACTGCTAGGGTGAAAACTGGAGGTCCTGCATCTTAGCCCATCAGCTTAGTGAGCCCAGGAACATCATCTCTGGGTAATAGTTTATGACTATGGATATAGGGCCAACTTAGTTGAGTACAAACTCATATATCAAAATTGGTACTTATAAAAATTCCACATTATATAGAAGTATTTTTAAAAATTTATCCTTATTATTGAAAGTATTACAGATGTCTCCCTTTCCCGCCATTGATCTCTTCTACCACCCTGCCCCTTCCCTCCCCCCCTCCTTTCCCCACACTATTGTATGTGTCCATGGGTTATGCATATATGCACATAATGCTTTGGTTAATCTCTTCCGGCCCCCCTCCTCACTTCCCTCTGAGATTCGTCAGTATGTTCCATGCTTAGAAGTATTTTTGATGGCCATATAACAAGATCATTCAAGTAGAATTCCTATAGAGAGTGAGGCAGTATGCAGAGTGGTTTTAAGGACATGGACTATGGAGCCAGATGGATTTGAGTGCAAACCTTGATTCTGCTACTTACTGGCTATGTAGCCCAGGACAAATTACTTACCTGTCTTCATGTAAAATAGGAAGAATAATTCCTCAAGGAGTTGTGGAAATTAAAGGATGTGTATTAAGTGCTCGATAATTAGTAATTATTGCTTTTAAATAAATCTAATTAAATGATGATGAGTTACAAAATTAAGTGTTTACCCTATTTTTATCATGACAGTATATAACTAAGATGAGCAAATGCAAGCAACCAACAGTAACATTTACATATTTGTCAAAAGACTGAGGGAGAATTCAGTTGTATTGACACTTGGTTTCCCCTTTGTTTCCACAGGCTATGCGTAGCCTTGCTTCCTGAAAGCGGGCTCAGGGGCCACGCTGAGCAAGGACTGCAAGGCAGAGTTCAACCACCGATGTCATTCTATGCAAGCGTTTTCTGCATCGACTACTTCTTTGGACTTGAAACACTCATTCATTTTCCATTTGATTTTTAAAATATACATATTTTTATTGATTTCAGAGAAGGAGAGAGAGAGGTAGAAACACCAATGATGAGAGAGAACCATCGATTAGCTGCCCCACACTGGGGATCGAGCCCGAAACCCGGGCATGTGCCCCAACCGAAAATTGAACCAAGACCTCCAGTTCATAGGTCAATGCTCAACCACTGAGCCACACCAGTTGGGCCCATTAGATTTTTAAAAAACCATTGTGTGTGTTTTTTAAACATCTTAACCATTGAAAGAAAGAGATTTAAAATTGTTTCTAGGCTTTATTTATAAAATAAATAGCTTACCTCCAAAATGTGTAAAATGGTGAGGAGAATTACCCTGGCCATGTAACAATGTCTAGCTAGGACCTGCTTATGCCATGCTGCTGTTCCTCTGACACGTTGGCTAACACTGTTCGTGTGGGAACTGGGTACCTCTGCTCAGTCGGGATAAGTGTGACCCGACAGCCCCTGTGGGCAGCTGAGCCAGGAATGATCATCATGAAAACATTCCATTTCTGACCGGCCTGCATCCCCATGAGCTGCTCTGAATCACAGGGTGAGGGCCCACCAAGTAAATGCCGATATAGAATTGTTAATGCATTTATCAATAAAGGCCTTCAAAAATCACTTTTGGTAAACACGTCGAAGAGTTTTTAAAATGCAAATTGGGTTATTACTTAATTATGAATGTTACAGTGACCATATCTGTAACCAGAATTCAGAATCAAGGTCCACTTCAAAGCTGCAGAACTAAACTGATATATTTTAAAAGCATTGATTTAGAGAGGTGAAGCAGTAAGAAGATTATTGTGGTTTATCAAAATCACCTTTTGATATGATAATCATGGATCACAATTAGGATCAAATAAAATATATGAAAGACTATCCCTGCCTTAAAAATGCAATTTTAACTTAGTTTATAGAAATAATCATTGTGTAGAGTTACATAGCGGTATGGTCTATTTAAAACCTACTACAAAAATTGTGTTATTTTGAACAAAAAACAATTTTGATATGTTTGTAAGACTGTGGTGATTAAAATAAGTTTATGTTTTTCTCTAAAATTTAGCAGTATGTAAAGTAAATGATCTTTAACTGAATTCTGACCAGCTTTCAAAAAAATCTAAAAAGTAAATAATTTGGATATAACTCTATGTTTAAAATGAGTTTTTTAAGACAGAACAGTCTACATGAACTCAATAGCAAAAGAAAAAAGTGGTTTGGAATATTTACATCGAAAATGTTTAGGTTTTTAAAAATCCATATTTTGAGCCAGAAAATATGTTAATTTTACTTAATCTTTTCTGACTGCCAACAATTTTCTAGGCATTATATATAATACATAAGCTGTGGTTCCGGAGACTATTCCTATATACAGGGTGTACCCCCAAAATGTATACACACTTTAACAGCTGATAGTTCAATTTTGAAAATGAAATGTATTTTAATAAACACTGCCTTTATAATTATTCAAAATGTGTGTATACATTTTGGGGGGACACCCTACATTTCATGCTCAAGTAAATGAAGTTGTACTTCATTTCTAGGGAAAAATAAACACTCAGGTCCCCAACGGACACAATGTCTTACATGGTTGAGAATTATATCCTACCTTTGGCACAGATGTGGGAAATTCCCAAATCCGAGGACAGCATGTCTTACCTCTGTTTTTTCTTATATGAATGAGAAACAAGGTCTCTACTTCTGAAGGAATATCTTCAGTGATCATACCAAATTGGTTAAAAGAATCATCATCGCCACCCCACCCCCATTCTGCACATTGGAATTTGAATTAGTTGTAATGGATTGTGATGTTACAATGTTCTTTCATGCTCATGGGTTACTCTGTCTTTAATTGACTTAGAACAGATTTCTCCCCATGCTGGGTACAGTATAACCAGGATTATGTTATCTCATTTTCACAGTAATACCTGCTTATAATGGCAACAAATCATATCTCTAAAGAGTGAATATAAAAGTCTTGCAGAAAATGGATGAATACCTCTGTTCAATAGAGGAAATATGCACTGCTTATTTTTTTTATTAGTCGAAGGAAATAACCAAAGTAATCCTTTACAATAAGGCTAGAGTTTTGTGAAATCCTGGTTCCATTTGTCACCATATAAGACCAGGGTATGTGACTAGTTTCCCAAGCAATAGGAGCACTGTCTCTTCCATGCATTTTTAAATAATATGCATATTTTAATTCTCTATTGCCAATGGAAGATTTACTTGAAATTAAAATTGTTTTTTGTTATGTTTTTAACCTATATAAGAGTCCAGTGTTGTATATGAATTTCAATAAATAAAGATATCAAATTGTACATTTGGAAATTACTGCACATATTTCTTAAATTAAATGTAAAGTTATCTTTTAAATACTCTACTGTGTCCCTTCTGAACAAAACTATTAAATATAATGAAAAATGCTAAATTTTAAGTTTGCAATTACTCTTATCACTCAGGCAAAAAACAAAACAAAACACTGAAGGCATTAAGGAAGGGAGAGAAATAAAAAAGGAATTAATTGAAGAAACAGAAAAAAGGAGGGTTAAAATAAAAGATGGAGAGAAGTCAGGAAGCAATAGGAATACTAGAATTTGGTTGTGGGCAAAGAAATTCAAATAGAGGATTAATTTCAATACAATCATTTAAGAACTCAGATAATTTAGCAGCACTCCTCCCATGCTATCTTGTGATTCTTGGTCTCCCTTACCTGGCTCTATTTTCTTCCCACAAAATAGTTATCACCTGCTAGAATGCTCTAGAATTCACTTATTACTCTTTATTTTCTTTCCAGGCCTCTTCCCCTATGCTAGAACTTAGGCTTCACTAGGGCAGGGTTCTTTGTTTTATTCTTGGACATATACCAAGCACTAGAAGAGTGAAGCGTGCCAGGCACACAGTAGGTGCTTAATAAATACTGTTGGAAGACCGAAATAAGCTGCAGTGATGCTAAATAAGGCCAACATAGTTAGTGGATGGCAGTCATCTGAGCGTATAAGACATTCAGAGTTTCCTGGGCTTCTCAGGCCTACTCTAGCACTCCCAGACTGTTCATTGTGAATCTGCTAAGTTGCCCACTTCATTCGTTTCTTCAGGAACATCTTTGGACCCGGGCACAGAGGAACAGGATCTTCTAGCTTCAAGGCCATCTCTAATGCACTATTTTATATCTTAGATCAAGTACTCCAGTATTCTGAGTCCCTCCCCGCTTAAAAAAACTTTATATTTTGAAACACAGATTCACAGGAATTTGCAAAGAACTGTACAGCAAGATTCCCATGCACCCTTCACCCAGCCTCCCCCAATGTTAACATCTGGCATAACTGCAGTGCAACATAAAACCCAGGAAATTGGCACTGGTACACACCATAGATCTTATTCATATTTCTCCAGTTACACATATACGCATTTGTGTGTGTGTGTCTCTATGTAATTTTATGCCGACTATAGTTTCATGTAAACACCACCACAATCAAGATGCTTAACTGTACCACCAGCACAAGGCTCCTGATGGCCCTTTTAAAAAGCACTGCAAGGACAGATACACCTGTTCACAACCCAGCATCCCAGACTTATGGCTGGAGCTGGAGAAGCACCGCTCAGATTAGTACTTCCTATGGCCAGGACAAGTTGAACACCTACTCTTCTATTTTAGAATTTGTTGGTGATTTGCACTTGTATTCATTACCAGCCCAGTCATGGAGGGGCTCTCGGCCATTCAGGAGGAGCATCTGAAGGTCACCCTTCAGAAAAAGAAAGACACACGTTCTTGACAACCAGCCCTGCAAGTTGGTGGAGACTCTGGAAGGGAGACCAGGCATGGCGCTGGTCTTAGTTCCCGCTGCTGTAACACATCACCAAAGACTGGGGGCTGAAAAACACACATTTATTCCTCTCAGTTCTGGAGACTACAAGTCAGCTCTTGGTGAGTGCCCTCCTCCTGGTTTGAGAGGGCTGTGTTCTTGCCGTGTTCTCACATAGCTGGCTCTCTGGCCTCTTATTATAAGAGCACTAATCCCATCATGAGGGCTCCACTCTTTTATTCACCCCACCTCCAATCACCATCACTTTGGGATTATGATTTTGACGTAGACATTTTGGAGGGGGACACATTTGAGTCATTGCTGCTCTCTTCAAGACACCTGTGATCTAGGTGGCACTGCCGCACATGAGGACAGACTGATCTCTGCGAGTCGATCAAAGTAGTCAACCTTATCCCATTCAGGTGAATTCACTTCCCAGCTCATCAATTTGTGGTAAATCAGGCACATCAGGATCCTGTAACCCATTCCCCGACGCCTATACCATACACAAAGGAGGCCTGGTCATCCTTCTATCCCCTGCAGAGAACTACCAAGGTGAATAGAGAGGTCTGGACCATTTGAACACACTGGGGAGCTCATGACCTTTCTCTAGTAAGCTTCTAATTAAGTGGGTAAGGGAAGGAAGTGGTGAGAAATGAGGCTGGGAGGTGGACTGGAGCCAGATTATGAGGGGCCTTGTATACCACATTAAGGATCTTGAATTTTATCCTCAACTCTGGTAAGAGATAAGGGCAAAATGGCTGGGTTACATTACTTAGCTAATCCAGTCAACTGACCTGGATACCTAGAAATAAATTCAGAAGGTGTAATTAAAGTAGAAATGAATGAAGCTTTTGTTGTTTAGTTTCCAAGGAGAGAGTAACAGATGGACACGGACATATTAGCTTTTGTGATTTAGAAAAAACAAGCCTATTCCCTGGATGTGATTTTATTTCCCTAGTTTTATCCTTTTAAATACAATTTTAATATTCTATTATCTATAATGGTATGAGGCATTACTTTCATAATTAGAAAAACATGTGTTATATTAAAGCACTTAGGGCAGAAACAGATACTGATTTGAGATTGTAGAGTTAACATTTCCTTATAAACATGCTGCTGTTTCTATGTAAGAGTCATTGTCTTCTCTGGTTTTATTTGCTTGTAAACAAAAAGAATTTTGGGTTCCAAAAACAATGGAAGAAGTGATTGCTTAATATTTC